CTCTCGTTAGCGAGAGCTGCAAAACGAGTTGGGGACGGAGCAGAGGAGGAGCTGCTGGCTAAGCCGGCCGGTGACGCTCTCCAGTCTGGCAGGTTTGGGACCTGACAACCAGCTCTGTGTTTGTTCAGAGGGGTCAAAGTGAGATTTGGGATCGGCCGGGCTCCTTTTTGTTCAGTGCCTCTGCAGGTGCCACTTCGTTCCCTCATGGGCCCCAGGACATCGGTCGATGGGGAAGCAGGCAGGGGAAGGGGCTGGTTTCCCCAGGAGAGGTTAAAGGGTGAGAACCGGTTCAGAAAACAGCAGCGAGGGAAAAAAATAGCCTCTGCTTTGCGTGTAGCTGTCGGGGTCCATCAGCGTCGGGGTGCTGTGAGGACTCCTGTAGCCGGTGGCTATGAGCTGGCTGCTGTCAGCAGCCCTGCAAACGTGATTCCCAAGGAGACACCCGGGGGGGAGCAAAAGTGTGACTGTGCCAGGGTGAGCCCTGACGGCATCAGCGGAGTCAGCCCCTGGGGATCGGCTCTCTGAGGGCACCCTGAAGTGGAAAACCCTGGCTGGACGCGGCCTTTGAAGGAGGATGGAGGTGCGGGGCTTCCCCAGCAGCAGCAAGCACGCAGCCAGCTGCAGCTGAGCGCTTTGCACAGCGAGGAGCAATAATGCAGCCTTTCCCCACGCGTGCCCCGTGCTACCTGCGTGCTTTTGCAGGAGCAAACGATCTGTACACGCAGCAAATGTGCCCGCAGTGAACCAGCCGTGCTCCCTCCCCAGCCAGGGCTTGGGCAGCCCCTCGCATGAGCTTCTTCTCCTCTTGTTAAAAAAGAATATAAAATAGACACCCACCTGCGAGGAGGGAGGAAATAAGTGGGCAAAATCCCGGGGCCTTGGAGCTAAGAGGCACTAAACAAATGGAGCGTGCCTGGGTACGTGGAAAGTTATGTGGCAGAGTGGTACCTCTTGCAGCACGGCTGAGTTATGGGGCACTTTGGCACAGGGCCTGGCTCCCATCACTCACAGCCCCTGTGGAAAACCCTCCAGCGAGTGCTACGGGACCTACTGAGCGTGGGCTGGGGGTCACAGGCACCCCCCGGCGTGGGCGCTGCAGGGAATTTGGTTTCTTGCGTGGCCCGGGAAGGCGAAGCCCTGCCCTGGGAACTTGCAGCCTTAAACTGGGCTCTGCAAACTGAGCTGCGGCTCCGGGAGATGATGTGCTGGTCCTGCTCTGCCCCTGGGCTGCAGGACCCCCCAGGAGTGGGAGCAGAGGCCAGGTCCTGCCTTCCAGCCACCCCTGGGGTCCTGGTGGGACCCTGCAAACCCCCAGAGGTGCAATAAAGCCTGTATGGGACCTGGTTTGCTGCTGATCCCTGAAATACAACGTCTCTTGGAGAGCAGAGCCAGAGTACAAGTGGAGGGGGAAACAGCATCGCCGCGAGCCCTGGGCATCCGGGCAGGGATGTGTCCTCACCCCCTCGGCTAGGCATCCCCCTGCCTGGCTCCTGCCCTCCCTGTGCTCCAGCCAAGGGCAGAAAACCAGCACAAAACCACTGGGTCACCCTCTGGTTGCCCGGGGAGGTGCTCATGCTCTTCTCAGAGCTGTCAGGACTGGGAGAAGACAACCTGTGTTGGGGAGAGCTCTGGGGCTGGTCCTGCCCCCCATGGATTAGGCTGTTAATGTATAATCCATCACTTTAACAACCCTGACTCCCATTAATGTGATAACGCTTTGCAGAATTAAAGTCTAAAATCAGGAGGGTAAGCAAATCCAACTTATATTAATAGGACTTAAATAGAAGGAGGGGAGAAATCCTCCGGTCACATTTATCAATTTCTGTGCAGAAATGAAGCCCAGCTGGAGCAGAGCTGTCCCAGCCCTGCAGAGGGGTCTCCTCACCGCTGTTTTGTTTTGTTGTTTTTTTTTTTTTTTTTTTTTTTTTCCCAAGCATAAATATTTCCAGGGTTGTATTGATGCTCTTCCCTGGCTCCCTTGCAGGTGTCCCTTGGTCCCACAGACCTCTGTCTCCCATCCTCCTCCCTCCGCGCCTCCCTTCTCCCTCCGACCAAGTCCAGCAGCTCGTCAGCGGCTCCGCTCCAGACAGAGCCCTCTTTGTGCTGCCAGGGCTGCGGAAGGGAAAACCCCGCGCGTGCCCCCACGAAGCCGCCTCCGCCATCCCATCCAGCTCCTAAAGGAGGGTGCAACCCCCCCCCCCCCCCCCCCCCGGCCCCCAAAACGGCGGGCTGAGCTGGGAGGCTGCTCGGCGCGATGCTTCCCGTGCCGGAGCCCCTGATTTAAGGAGCTCCTGGTGACACGGGCTATAAATTCCCCTGGAATAAATTCTAAATGAGAGGCCAGGTAGCTGGCTGCTCCTGATAACGCCGGAACAGGGATGTGCCACCGTCGATGCCTGCAGTGGCAGTGCTGCTGGGATTAACCCCGTGGGATGCGATGCCCGTGGCCCCTGCCCGGTCCCTCTGTCAGGTCGTGGCCGTGCTAATAAATGTGCTGCTTTAGCTCAGGTAATTAGAGGCGGGTGCTTCCCTGTTAGATCCCCCACTCCCCAGCACTGGCTGGGTGCTCACCCAGAGGACGAGCCGTGGCTGGGGACAGGGACAGGGATGGGACATGCGGAGTCCTGGTGGGTTTGGGATGGGGTTGGCTGGACATCCTGCGTGGGAGCAGGAGGGGAGACCCATCCCGCAGGGCTCCTGCACCACCCGGGGCCAAAGCTGGCCGAGAAACCCCAAAGCTGCTTCAGCTAAAAGCAGCAGCAGCCTCTGGGGTGGGGAGGGGGGTCCTGGGGGTCTCCGGTGGCCTCTGTGCACGTTATGGAAACAAAATGCTGCAAAAATTGAGGTTTGAAGCTGTGTCTCTCTCTCCTGGGAGCAGCTGTGGGGACAAAAGTCCTCAGATGTCACCTCGGTGGGGGCTGAGCAATCCTTCCCCTCTGACACAGCGCAGCCTTGAGCCTGGGAAGGCAGGAGAGGGAGACAGCGGTGAGGCCGAAGAGCGGAGAGAAGAGAGGAGAGCAGTTCCCTCTTCTGGCCGAGGAAATCCTTTCCCTCAGCTAGGCTCGGAGGTGGCATTAAGGCGGGTATTAAAGTGGGGATTTGCCTGCTTGAGGAAGAGGCAGAGGTGCCTGGCGATGGGCTGAGGCAGCTCTCGGTGCTCCCGCAGCTGGGATCGCATCTCGGGTGCCGGCAGGGGATAAATTCAGGCACAAAGGGGAGAGAGAACGGCGGCCTCTTTGCGTCAGGACTGGCACTTTTGGGTAATTTTCCTGCAGGAAGACAAGTGTAACACCCAGTGCAACAAGCCACTGCGAGACCTGACAAAATTAAAGCGATGCCAGGCAGCTAAGGACACTACTTTTCACTGCTGTCTCCGTCGAGGCTCTGTGAAAGCACAATAACATCCTGCTAAGTCAGTCTATGTGTTGGGGTTTTTTTGTTGTTGTTGGTTTTTTTTGTATTGTTTGGGGTTTTTTTGTTTTTTGTTTTTTGTTTTTTTCTGTTTGTTTTTTTTTTAGAAGAGAAGGCAAGCCAGAGGGAGCAAAGAGCAGGAAAAGAATAGGACAGGGAAGGATGTTGTTAAATGGGAAGCCTCACTAATACGTATTGCTCTGATCTGTTGTTTGTTATGTGTGTCCCCCCCCACGCCCCCCCCTTCCTTTCTGTCTGAACCTTTACTCAAAGAGCAGTGCCATCCTGCCAAGGTGATGTGCCAGCCGATTTCTCGAAGCCCCTCGCTCCGGCGGTGTGAGCAGGGGGGGAGGCTCAGTGCTGGGCTCCCCCCCCCCCCAACCCTGACCCCACGGGGCAGAGCACACGCTGCCTAAGGGGGTTAGCAAAGAGGGGCTGCCCCCCCCCCCCCCAACTCCCCTCCTGCTCCTGAGACCTTTTATTACACTGAGGTGAACAAAGTGGAGCAGCATCCCCCTTGCTGCTCATGACCTTCGTGGGTCTGGGACCGTGACCCCCCCACACCACCACTGCTGGCACTTATAGGGGATGGAGAGAGGGGCGAGAGGTTCCATCACCTCACACAGGGCTGGGAGGAGGAGGAGGAGGAGGAGGAGGAGGAGGAAGAGGCCGGGAGAGCTGCACATGCCTCTGCAGTGAGGACCCTGCCCGCTCGCAGGGAGCCGGAGAGCGGCAAAGGGGGTCGGGGTGGCAGCGACCCCCAGTCCCATCCCCGGGGGGGGGGGGGCGGGGGGGGGAGCAGAGGGGCTGGGTGCTGGGAAGGGCTGAGCAAGGTGCTGCTGCCGGGGTCTGCGGAGCCTCAGAGGGGAATGAATAATCCTTCCCGCCCCCCCCCCGCCCCCCCCCCCCCCCCCCCCCGCGCTGGATGCGTGTGTGTGCGTGTGCACATGGGCGTGTGTGTGCACATGTGCGGGTGGGGGGGCGATTCCTCCCCCACACCCCGGCGGCGGGGAGCGCGGATCAGCTGGTAGGTCCCCGTTTGGGTGGGCTCCCCTGCCTTCCCCCCCCCCCCTCCTCCCCGCTCCTCCTCCCCCCCTGGTGACATTCCCCCCATCCGAGGACGTGGCATCCATGTCCCTGTGTCGTGTCCGTCCCCGTCCCCCCCCCCCCCCCCCGACGGGTCCCCCCTCTCCCATCCCCATACTCGGAGAAGAGCGGGGACCCGGGGCTGGTCCCAGCCCGGGGGGGGGGGGGGGGGGGAGCAGGGGGGTCTCGCCTTTGGCTCTGCACCCTCGGGGGGGCCCCGGGGGTCCCCCCCACTGCTCGCAGGCAGGTGCCTCCGCGGAGGCTCTGCGGGAGGGTCCGGGAGCCCCGTCCCCCTGCCCCATGCGGAAGGGCGATGGAAGGGCATCCGCGGCTGCGCTGCCCTCCGCGCTGCGCTGCCCTCCGCGCTGCGCGGCTCCCGGACCCCGCGGAAGGGCGGAGAGGGAGGGCAGGGCCGGGGAGGGGACGGGCGGCCCCCCCGGCTCTGCCCCCTTCGCCAGCGCCGGGGCTCGGCGGAGCGCAGCCTCCCCTCGCCGCGCCCCCCCCCTCCCCTCCCCTCCCCAAGCCTCCCCCCCTTCCCCACCCTTCCCCTCCCCGCTCTGGTAGCCACAGGCTCGCCACAAGCCGCCGGGAGCCCGGCGGAGCGCGGAGGAGCGCGGAGGAGCGCGGGCGGGGATGCGGGAGGCGGCGAGCCGCGCTGCCCGGCGCAGCGGCTGAGGGCCCGGCTCCGCGCCCGGCGGAGCGCACCACCCCTTTCCTCTCTCTTTTGCAGCCTCGCCCGGATTTGGGATCTACCTGACCGCCTTGGGAATTATTATTATTTTTTTAATTTTTTTTTTTTGGTTCCACTTTTTTTTTTTTTTTTTTTTTTTTTTTTTTTTTGCACACGTGGAGGAACGCGTGGATTTACTAACATGATTTTGGCAAACGCTTTCTGCATCGTCCTCTTTGTAGGTGAGTGGCCCCGGCGGGCCGGGTGGGCTGCTGTCGCCTGGCCGGGCAGAGGTGGCGTGTCCCTCCCGTGGGTGAGGGGCTGCGGGGGCTGGAGAGGGGGGATCCGCGCTCCTCTCCGCGGGCTCCGCTCGGCTCTCGGTCTGCAGCAGGAGAGGGACAAGGCGAGACAGGGGCAACTTTATTTCCCTATTTTCTATCAAACTTAAAAGAAGGGGACACACACACAACCCACCCCGCCCAACCGCCCCGCCTCTGGCACCCCACGGCCGCGGTCGCGGTCCACGGGAACGGGCAGGATCAGCGTGCGGCAGCAAAGCCCCGATCGTCTTTGATCCCTTCTCGACGTGGATTTGCATTTCGGAGGATATTTACCCCTCTCCCCCCTACCCTTGTCTCCCAGCACCCTCCCGCCGCTGCTGTCGTGGGTACCGGCCCCCCCAACCCACCCCCCCCCCCCCGCGCCATCCCTGCTAGTGCCTGGCATGGAGAATCGGTTCAGAAAGTTGAGCTAATTGCATGTGCGTGTGCGTGGGGAATTGCTGTCCCCTCCGTGGCAATTCGTGCGTGTTGCTGTAGATCATGTGTGAGTTATTTAGGAGCTGTGGCTCTGCCAGGGAGAAAGCTTAGAATTTCTAGGGCAGCCGCCTGCGGAGATGGGGAAGGTGCAGCCGAAAAGGGGGAGAAGTCAGAGCTCGTGGTGGGTCTGGGGTGAAAAGGAAGCAGATGAGAGAGGTCCTTTTTTTATTTTTTTTTTTATTTTTTTTTTTTTTTTTCCCCTCCTGCGAGGCTGGGTGGGCGCACGCAGGACCGTGACTCGGTCGTGTGCCGTGTCGCTACGGCAGCGCCCGCACCCCGCTGCCTCTCGGCGGGTGCCTGCGCTCGTGTGATCCCCAGCACGCTGCAGCAGCCAGCACCCACCCCCCCCACCCCCACCCCCCCCCCCAAAAAAACCCCAACCAACCAACCAAAAAAAATCAACCCAACCCCCCCCCCTCTGCTGAGCTCGCCTGGGCTGGAGGAGTGTCCCCCCCGGCTGCGAGGACAGGGAGAAGGGACAGGGAGCTGCTGACGGGGACCTGGAGGTTGGCAGAGCAAACCTCCCTCCCGAGCACCCCGCCGTGCGGGGCTGGGGGTGCGGGCAGAGGGCCCACCCTGCGTGGGGTGCTCGGTGTCCCCGAGGAAGGGCTCTGCTCCCTGCGCGGAAGTGGGGTGACGGGCTCTGCCTCTCCCCTGCTCCCCAGCACAATCCCCGGCTGGCGAGGGTGAAGGGGGGGGTGCTGTGCCGGTGGGGGGGGGGTGGGGGTGAGGGGGAGCTGGTGCCTCACGTGCCTTTGTGTGGGGTGGGACCCAGGCCTGAGCAGTGGGGGGGCTGCACCCCAATTTGGGGTGCCCTTCCCCATGACCTGCCAGTGCCAAAGCATGCTGAGGAGTGTCAGGGCGGGGGGCGGGGGGGCATGAGCTCTGCCTTCTGAGCCAGCGAGAACAAGGAGGGATGCTCTGGGGGGCAAAGTGGGGGGTGCAGGGGGGGGAAGACATCTGGTCAGGGGGGAGGAAGGGCTCTCCAGCGCTGGCTGGGGGGGGGGGGCAGCTGGCTGTTTTTACTCACGTCTGAGTCGCTGCTGGATGTCTCACGAGCGAGATTCAGGGGACCTCCAGGGTGCCCCACCTAAGGCATCCAAACCGTGCTCCATTCGCCCTCGCGGGGGGTTGCATGAAAGCAAGACCCTCTGCCCCCTTTCCCTGTACCCCAAAGGTTTCAGGGGTGCGGGGGGGAAGCTGGGTGGGTCTGTCTCCCCCCACCCAGAGGAGCTGCAACACCCCGAGCAGTGACTGCAGGGAAGCTGTGACCCCTCATTGAGCATTAGGGATGGGGTGACCGGGGAGCCTCATCCTGATAATTTCCAAAGCAGCCCCCCCACCCCCCGGCATGGCCTCGTGCTGAGGAGCCCGGGGGAGCGGGGCCCGGCATGAGGAAGCCCAGCTCTTCACGTCTGGGCTCTTCTTTCTGATGAGCCAAAAAAGCCCTTTGGTTGGGAGAAAGCGATCGCTGCCACAGCAGCCAGGCTGCACGTTCCTCCGCAATTTTATTTTATTTTTTTTTAAATTTCTTTTAAGTCGAGTTGTGAGGATAAATATTTACCTCTAACACTGCCTGTGTCCAAAGGTCTGTGGCAGGACCGGTTAAAGAAAACATGTATTACAGCTAGAAAAGAGGCAACACAGCCTGATGCTGCTGGGAGAAGCTGTGAGAGCGAGAGGAAAGCGGGCCATCGCGTTGTTTGCTGACTGACTGTCGGAGGCTTGTGCATCTGCCTGCAAATCCTTGCTGTGCTCCGGCACCCCAGAGACTGCTGAGGATTAGGTTTAAATTCTCTGCAGATGTTTTATTGATACGAGTTTAGCCGAGTGTGTATCGCTGAGGCAATTTCTTTTGGGTAGGGAAGCAAAACTCCCCTCAGCCTGCCCCTCCATCCAAACTCCCCACCTTGCACCTCCGTGGGGGTCTGTGGAGCTTTACCCGGCTTGGCAGCGCCACGAGCTGGGTGTGGGAAGGGCCCCAGGAAAAAACACCGACCTAGCAGCCCGGGCTGAGCGTGCTGCTGGATTTTGGGGGGGTTCTGAGCTGCCCTGGGCGGGCTGTGAACTGTGAGGAAGGGCTGCTCCTGCCTTTCCTCCTCCAGCGGGACGGCTTTGTGCCGTGCTCCGGGCTCTGCTGGTGCTCCCGCTTTGGATGTGGTGCGGGATGCTGCAGGCACCCTCCCGGGGCTGCCGGGGGGGCACGCAGCACCCTGCTTTCTGCCAGGCCATGCAAGCAAGGTGGCAAAAGCCAGGAGACCGAGGCCAGCTCGCTGCCACGCATCCCTGCCAGCTCCCGGCGGGTGGATTTACTGTTGGGCTTCCCACCCCGGCACGAGGGGGTGCCTGCGCCAGCGTCGGGGCGCGCTGCCGAGGGTGCTGGGGCCCCTCATGAGGATGCTCTGTGTGGTCCAGCACCTTTTTTGCATCAGGGCACGGCTGCCTCCCTTCCCTGCCTGCCTGCCAGCACCTCCGGTCCCTGCCTGGGAGGCCCGTGGAGCCAGGGGAGAGGCTTCGGATGGCATTTTTGGGAGGAGGCTTCATGGCATCGGCCGGAGAAGACCGAATTGGAGCTGAGGCCTGGACTTGCTCGGGGCAGAGGAGCACCAGATGGATCTGCAGCTGAGCATGGCGAGGGCGGCGGAGGAGGAATGGCACGTGGTGGAGCTGTGGGATGGATCTCCATGCCTGGGAGCTGATTGCCCCGGGCTGCAGCAGGAGCCTGTTGTTCCAGCTGCTGCGCTGGGGTTTCCCGGGGTGTAAAGGTTCAGAGCTGGCCCCTTCCTACTCAAAGCACCAAAGCATCACCCATCTCATGGCGAAGAGCTGGCATTTCTGCCCTGAGGAGCATTTGGGGACGGCTGTTTCTCCTCTACCAGTCCAGGCTGTGTGTCAGGACTGTGTCTCCACCGCTCGTGGATCCTGCCTGCCTCCCATGTGGAATATAATCCTGAAAGGCCAAGGAGGGCCTTCCCAAGGGGCGTCTGCCACCCGAAATTGGATTTAACGTGGGTGCAGGGCCTCTGCGTCTGCTCCTGGTTACCCGGACACCCTCCAGACCTCTCCGAACCCAACGATGTTTGTTTGGGGGCATCAGCTGAAGACCAGGAGGTCGGGATCTGTTCCTTGGCCTGACCACAGGCAGCGGAGGTCTTTCCACCCGGGGCTGCTGACCGTCCTTCTCGTTGAGCCCCGGCACTGCCCCGTCCCCCTTGCAGAGCCATCCCAGCCCCAAGCATCCCCTCTCCTCTCCCCGCGACCCGAGGAGCGTGTCTGGACCGGGCGAGGTGGGCAGAGGCGTGCGTGGCCACTTGCTCCCGTGGCATCCAGGAGGCAGGGGACGGATGCCCACCCCAGGGTGGTGGCAGGGGGACAAACCCTGCCTGCGTGCTGCTGCCTGCGCGGGGGGAGCTGCTGCTGGGGCCGAGCGCCCGCCGAACGTGGGAGCTGCCTGCGTGTCCTGGCGAGTGGGAGAGGGGGGGGTGGTGGTGGGGGGACACGGGTGGCCCTTGTCACATGCCTGTAGGTGTCACTGTCCCCTCGCCGAGCGGCTACGGGTTGGAAAGGGGCTGGGAGCTGGAGGTTGAGGTTTGCTGTGCCCATGTTGGTGCCTTGCGTGTGGCAGCCAGGGGAAGGGGAAGCTGCTCCCCGGGGCGCAGGGCAGCAGTGGGGGTGGGTGTCACACGAAGCAGGGTGTCCCTCTGTGTCACCCTCCGGGGACAGCCGAGGTTGCCCTCCAGGTCCCCGTTGTGCCCATCTTCATCCGCTCCGGGGCTTTCCCTGCCTGCGGTTGCAAGCTGGCAGAAGTGGGGGGGTCAGGAGTGGCGGGGGGTCCTGCCCACCCCGTCCTCCGGTGCAGGCGGGGGGACAGCAGTCAGGCCAATGTAGCCTGTCCCCCTTCCCTGTCCACCCAGGGTAGGACAGGCCAGTGGTCTTGCCTGGGGTTGACCTGGTGAGAATCTACTTCAAAAAACAAATGAGAAAAATGATAGAAATAGCATGAGAATTGAGGGAGTGCCGGGAGGGAAGGGGAGCACACAGAGCTGCTTGCCAAGGCAGGGTCCAAGGAGTGGGCAGGAGCCAGGCAAGCTGGATGGTTGCTACCTCAAGGGGTGGCTAGCACGGAGGCACGCAGGAGGCCGTCCCCAGGGGGAAGAGTTTGTACCGAGCTGCAGCAGACCTGCAGCCCTGCCAAGCCCGAGTGCTCGAAAACCCCATGAGTCAGATGCCCTAAAAATCCCGTGGCAGGCCTGAAAACGATGAGCTGCAAAATAAAAACCAAACAGCAACGGGCGCAGCGGGTTTGGCCGGGCTTTCTGCTTCCCTTGACTCTTGAGAGGTCGTGTGTGGAGGTTCATGTCCCCAAGCACCAGGGCTAGAAACACGCTGTTTGTTTATTTGCCTGTTTGGTTTTAATAAGAAACAGAGAGTCCTGTGGCATCACGTGGCTCCAGGAGCTGAGGCGTTGGGTTAACCCTCCACCTTCCTCGCTTTGGGGCACGTCACCGCTGCTGGGGTGCCCTGTGACATCCCGCTTGTTTTTTTTCAGGCCACCGGCTGGATTTAGTTGCATTAAACAGCCTGCGGTGGGGATACAGCTGGGGACACATCCAGGCTTGGCTTAGGTGTGATGGAAGGGTGCTCCCCCTCCCTCGAGCAGCCCAAAGGCGGCTCTAACACCAGTGACTGGGGCACGGGTTGATGTGTGTGGGTCCCGGGGAGGGAATACAAGGGGTTCGCCCACCCGGTCGCCCTCCCTCACCTCTCTGTGCCCTGGTCTCTCCTTGCCCTGCCCCTTCGCTCAGATGAGATCCTCCGCTCGCTGGCTGGCCCCCCGTCCCCGCCGGGGCAGGACCCCCATGGCTGGCGGGTGCCCGTGGACTGCGTGCGAGCCAACGAGCTGTGCGCGGGGGAGCCCAGCTGCAGCTCCCGCTACCGCACGCTGCGGCAGTGCCTGGCCGGCCGAGACAGGAACACCATGCTGGCCAACAAGGAATGCCAAGTGGCCCTGGAGGTGCTGCAGGAGAGCCCCCTCTACGACTGCCGCTGCAAGCGAGGGATGAAGAAGGAGCTTCAGTGCCTTCAGATCTACTGGAGTATACACCTCGGGTTGACCGAAGGTACGGGGCAGGGCTCCGTGGGGTTGCAGTGGGGTGGAGGGTGCTGGAGGGGTGGTGGTCCTGAGCCACCTCGAGGCGGGGAAGCTCTCCGGGCACCTCAGAGTGAAGATGGGCTGAGCAGTGCACGGGCACCCCAGGGAAGGCAGCCGGCGCCCCCCCTTTTCTCAGAGGATGCTGATGGGGGGGCCGGGCTGAGAGCTGGTCTGCCCAGAGTGGGCGTGGGGCAAGGGAGAAACGCGGCGGGGGGTGCGTTTGCACCAAATGCTGATCGCTATCATGGCAGAGCTGTTGTGCCCGGGCACCTGCAAACCAGGGCAGGGCTCCTCTCCAGCCGGGCTCGCCTGCCCCGGAGGAGGTGTGCCCGTGGGGTGCAGAGGCTGGGGCATGGCTTTGCACCTCAATACCAGCTGCGGGGATCTCTTGGGGTGCGGAGGTTGTTGCTGCCTCCTCGACCCCCCCTCCCCAGCCCCCCGTTAGCCCGTGCTCCAGTGGGGTTTGCGGGCTGGGGAGCAGCTGGGAGGGTTCGCTGGGGTCTCGCCTCGCGGGGGGAAGGCGATGCTCCAGAGCTTGCCATAATTGCAGCCCGGTGAAGGAGTAAATCAGAGGCTGGAGCAGCGCAGGTAATTGAAATTGGATTTTGCTAGCCCGGGGCTGGTTGGCTCGTTGAAGGCGGGATTATCTACTGCCTGAAGGCAGGGGGAGGCAGCGGGCTTCACCCGCTGCCCCTCGCCCCTCTGCAGGGGCATCACTGGGGCTGGGGCTGCCCCTGGGGCTCCTGCTGCCTGTCCAGGGCTGCAGCGGGGCACTTTACTGGGCTCAGAGGAAGGACCCAACTGTCAGGGGCTCGGCTGGGGCTGGGGCTGGGGCTGGTGGGGTTTGCTTCGCTGTCCTGTATGGGCTCTACCCCACCCCGCCACCCCTGCACAGCTCTGCCAAGCGCCCGGCTGGCCCCAAACTGGAGAGGAGCAGAACCAGCATCGGTTTAACAGTACAGATCCCTTTAATGGTTTTACGACAGGCTCTGCCTGTGGAAGCTCTTAAATCCAGCCTCAGCTTGTGCAAAACCGCCCGTACCAGTGCCCTGGAGTCGTGGCACCGTCCTTGCAAGGGCACGTGCCTGCCTGGCCGGTGGCAGCTTGCGAGCAGACGGACCCCCGGCCCCCCGTGGCACCGAGCATGTTGGCAGCTTGGCCCCGGTTCCACCAATGATTTGGGCCTGTAAAAATGCCTGTTGGGCTGCTGTTTCATTACCCTGGCTGGAAGCCGCCTCCTTTAGTGGCTCTGAGCTGAAGGGGGTTCATTTGCTGGAGCCTGCGGAGGAGCCTCCGGCCCCGGGCAGCCCCGTTGCCGCAGCGGGCAGAGGTCTCTGACCTCCCTCCTGAGCTGGGATTGAAGCCGGAGGAGGTGGTGGTGGTGCTGGGAGGGCACTGGTGGCAGTGGTGAGGATGTGGGGAGCTGTACCGGAGCATGTGCCCCCCCCCGGTGAAATTACCTTCAAATCTGGGTCAGCACAGGGACTATGGAGCCTGAAAACCAGCCCAGAGCAGGAATTACTGCTTAATTGTTTCCTACCCCTCATTAGCAGCCTTCATTCAGCAATTTCAGAGGGCTTTGCAAACATGAATGAAGGATGCTTTACTGCTTGATGGGTACTCCAGGACCTGTACTGGGAGGAGGAGGAGGAGGTGGGAAGAGAAGTGATTATACCAACTCTTAAGGAGAGTTAGAAGCTTTGGGGAGATGCAGCAGCTCAGAGCTTTAACATGCATAAACCAGTGAGTGTGAAAGCAACGAGGAGCCCGAGGTAGACCCTGATCTTCTGCCTTTCAGCAAAGATGCTGTGTGCCCAGCGGCCTCCCGGCCAGCCCTCGGCTGCGGGAGCTAACCTGTCCCTGCCATTAAGGAGGACTGTTTTCACTCCAGCCTCATTCCTGGAGGTTAATTGCATCTCAGTGAGCTCAAGAAAAGTCCACTGCCCTTTTAATGCTCAGTAATTTTCCTAGCAAGCAGCAGGATTCAGCTAGTATTTAATTATTTATTGCATTGGCAAAGCAATATACCGGGAGGTTACAGTGTTTCCTAAATGCACTTTAATAAAGGTGCTATTTGTCATCGGAGCATTAGGAAACCCTGCGAGGCGAAGGGGTTTGGCCCGAGCGTGTTTCCTTCCCGGTGATGAGCAGCAGCGGCAGGAGCTGCCCTTGGCCCCGGCGGGGGCTCTTGCACCCGTATAGCATCACCCAGCGTCCCCCTGAGCGCAGTGGCGAGGCGGGATGCGGGGTGACGGGCTGAAAACCCCCCAGCTGCTGGAGACAGCCCAACCTGACATCCCACCGGGCTCTCCCTGGCCGGGCACCCAGCTTTGCTCACCCAAATTTCCAAGGAACGGCGCTGAGGAGCCGTTGGGCTCGGAGCGAGCCCTCCCGCATTGCTCCCCGCCTCTTAATGAGCTTGTTTTCCAGCGCAGGATTTCAAGTGGCTCCTTAATTACATGGGATAAATGCTGCTGCTTTGGGCTAATAATAACTTGGTAGAGCACCCGTGGGCTGGAGCGGGCTGGGCTGCTGGGGGGCCATCCCGGGGCACCCCCAGTGAGGGCACCCGGTGCGGGCAGGGATCCTGCCGAAGGAGCTGCCAAGCACAGAGGAGATCGATGCTCCGGGCTGCTGGTCAGCCTCTGACTGGGGCTTTCGAAGTCCAGCCATTGATTATTTTATATATATATATATACACATAAATATATTTTATTTATTTATTTATTTTCCTGTGGCCGCTGGGGTTTGAGGAGAACGTTTCCTCTCCTGAGAGCCGTGGCCGGCTCTCCTGAAATCAGCCTTTTCTCCAGTTACACGAAAGGCAGGCAGCAAAAGCGCGTGGGTTTGCACTGAAATCAAAGAGGGGAGAGAGGGGGTTTGCTCCCAGCCTGGTGACGGAGGGACCCTGCTCCCCTTCCCCCCCGAAAGTGCAGATCGGGGTGGATGAGCCCCTGGAGTGCAGCGTGGGTGGGTCATGGGTGGGGATGCTCTGGTGATGAGGCTCTCCAGTCAGGTCTGTATCCCCCCACCAAAATATTTCCATTTTCCCAAAGTGCATCAGAGGCAGAGCAAACTGGAAAACAATCTTTACAGTGTTTTCTCTTTTTTTTTTTTTTTTTAAGTGCTTTTTTTTTTTTTTTTTTTTTTTTTTTGTAACAACAATAAAACATTCCAGTGTTGAGTACAGACCCTAAAACTTTCAGCTTGCAGCTGGCCCAGACTCTGCAGACATAGTCATGAAACACTGACCTTTCAAACCTAAATTCCCTCAACTTTTGAGGTCAGTTTGAACGCAGCCGCTGCCAAACCTGACTCGCCCGAGGAGCTGAGCTTGCGGCAGGACCCAGCTGCAGGCAGCAGCACAGACCTGCCCACCTGGCCACAAACTCCCAGCCAGCAAGAATTAAGCTGATTCGGTCCAAAATGGGCTTTTCCTTTTGTTGCAGGGCAGTGCTTTAAAAGCTTTTTGGTTTTCCCTTCCCAAATCAGATTGCCGTGCTGGGGGGGTGCCCGAGCCCAGCCATAGCCTTGGTGGTGACTGAGGTTATTTGCTGTGGTTTTTAATTTGCTTTTTCTCCCCCTTCTCTTTCTTTCCTCCCACTCTAGGAGAAGAATTTTATGAAGCTTCCCCCTACGAGCCGGTCACCTCTCGTCTCTCTGATATATTCAGACTTGCTTCAATTTTCTCAGGTAATAAAAGCAACATGCTTCCACTGCTTTATCTTCTCTTGCCTGTAGAACATAGACCTGCTACCGAGCTCCCTGACAAGGAAAACACGCAGCTCCTTCCCCTGTGGTTGGTCTTTTGCTCCTCCAGCTCCCGTGGTCGATCTCCTTCCCGTCCCTTCTCCCATCTCCCCAGATCTGGTGCCTTGAGCATCACTTGGGGGTGACACATGTGTCCCGTCCCGTCCCCCCCCCCCAGCGGGCTGGGATGCTGAAGCCTGATGGAGAGGAGCGTTGTGGGGAGGCTGGTTCTCTGCCGGGGTTTGTTGCATTTTGGGGCAGATCTTCTCTGTTTCCAACCTTCCCAGTGGGTTCAGCCGTTGCTGGGAGTGGGTGAACCCTGGCTGAGGTGGGGGCTTGCTTTGAGCCCCTGCCCGGCAGTGATGGCAGAGCCACGGGGGGCAGCAGCCTCCTCCTGGGGTGCCCTATTGCCCCCCCCCAAGCTGCGATTTAGGTTTTTACCTTTTGGACACAGCTGCCTCCAACCGTGGGCTTCTACCAAATAGCCAAGGTGGGCTGGAGAGCCTGTAATCCTGTAATTTGTCCTGCTGACGTGTCCCCCCGTGCAGCCGGGTGTCACGGCGTTAGGCAGGGCAGGGGGGGAGGCGCAGGCACAACCTGGGCTCTGACGGGGGGGACCAGACCCTCGTGCTGCCCATCCATTGCTCCAAGGAAAACGTTTTGTCTTCTGGAAGATTTGGGACTGGCAGGACACCCTGTATGTGAGGAAGCTGATGGGGGGGCCCCTGTTTGCTGTCACTCCCCAGGGCAGATGGCCTTGAGCCGAGCTATGGGATGCTGCTGGGGGAAGGATGCTGAGCCCTTCGGAGCATCTCTCTGCCTCCACGTCCTCCTCTTGGGAACCCAAACTCCACCACCATCCCCAGGAACTTTTTTTGCCATCTATTTCCATGACAACCCTTCATGCTGCCACCCCCCTCGCCCCCCTTTTCAAATTAGGTCAGCAATGCCTTGCCTTCTCCTTGCTCTTTCTCCTCTTAACCCTCTCCCTTAAAGCTGCCCACAGCTGCGGGGTTTTGGGGGGGTCCCTGTGTCCCCAAACGTTGTGGTGGCACCTCAGGGAGCCCACAGTGATGCCGTGCCCCCTCCCTGGGCTGTGCAGCCCTGCCTGCAGTCACCCCGGCTCACCTGGGGACACCTCGGAGAAGGGCTGTGCCACCTCATCCCCTCGCTCCTGTCACCCGCTGGGTTTTAGCTCCCAAAGCAAATTTGCTGGGCTCCCTCCGGGGAGCTTAGCACCGGTTCAGGATGACGATGCCACCCCCTCCCGTCTCCCGCACGCCTTTTTGGATTACATTAGCGTCAAGGAAATATTTTAGCTGCTGGAAAGTATGAAAAGCAAAGTGTCTGGAGTGGGGGATTAAACACTCATGGGTTGATTTATTCATAAAAGCAAAGCGAGAGGAGAAGGAAGCCTGGCTGGCAATATTGGGGCTGGGGGAAGGGGGGAATTGGCTGGTTTTATGCTCTGGAGTTGTGCTTCTCCCACCCCTTCTCCATCCCCCTTGCGCGGGGCTGGAGCGGTGGGAGCAGCGAGCGGCTGTCCCCCCCACCCCCCCTGGGACCCCCAGCCCCGACCTGGAGCCCGAGCGCTTGAAGCAAACGAGCTGTTCGTGTTGTTTCTCGATAACAAGGCTGAGGCAGAGCGCTGCTAATTGCCTGTGGGGATAACGGAGGGATTACCTTCCCTTTCTGGGAGGAAGGGGCTGTGTAAGCGAGGCGGGCAGCGATGCGCTCTGATGGCTCGTGCCCTCGATGGGCAGCCTGCTGGGACCGGGGCGGGGGGGGGGGGACTGGTGGCACCGTGGGGAAGCACCGCAGCCCTCCCCATCCCGGAGCCCTCCGGGGAGAGTCACAGCCCGGGATGGGCCGGGGGTGAGGATGCTCTGCTGGGCCGAGGGGTGCCGGAGCCGGCAACCACAGCCTGCGGGGAGGAAGAGGAGGAGGCTCGGGTTGGGAATCCAGCCCCCCCCCCCCCCCCCCCACGCGGGCACTAACCCCCAGCAGCAGCAAACCCCACAAGCGGGTGGGCATCAGACCCCCTGCCTCAGCCCACGCCACACGGCGCGGAGTGGGCTTGCAGCAGCGCTGCCTTCCCCATCACCCTCCTCCTCCTCCTCTACCCCTGCCCCGAGAGGCCAGGCAGGGCCTGCTGAGGGGACGGCGGGTGGCACCAGGCCCCCCCCCAGCGCGGTCCCCTCCCCGGCTCCTTGGCCCCCGTTTCCTTCTCGCCTCATGAAATTTTCATGCTTCTGCTTTATTAATGAGCTCCCCAGAAACCCGGCGCTTCCAAGCATGGGCTCTATTAAAATGCAGCCAGGTCCCTGCAGGTCTCGGGCAGGGCAGGAGCGAGGCTTTGGAGGATTAGGCAATAAGCCGGCACTTTGCACAGATCCCACGCTTGTGGCTGTTAACTGCCCGCGGGGCTCGGAGCCGGGGCGGCTGCCAGCACCCCTGGGGTGCAGAGAGTGCTCAGTGCATCCCCCCTCAAATTCCAGAGCTGGTCTGGACAAGGAGAAGAGAGAACCATGTGTCCCCCATCCTCTGCAAGCGTCTTTTTCCCTTTCTGCTCCTCTGACATCAGTGTCATGAGCTGTCTCCATCCTCAGCCCTCGGCTGGAGGGACCCCGGCTGCAAAACCTCATCCCGCCTTTGGGATGCACAGGGAAGGTGTGAAGCCTCAAAGGACTCGTCGTCACCTCCTCTCCCCGTTCCTCGTGGCTTTATTCCTGACAGGGCTTCTGGCCCGTTTGCAGGAGGAGCTGGGGGGGGGGGGAGGATTCCCCCTCAGCCCTGCTCCGATTCACGCTCCGACCATCCGTCAGCTCCAACATCTCTCTTAGCTCAAGCGACCTTCTTGCCTCTTGCGCTATTTTTCAGGGCAGATTTACTTATAAATCATACATCATAAGAAGCATTCGCTTTACGTCTGTCTTAGCAAACTCCCCCGTCCCCGGTGCATCTCCGCGGGGGGGGAATGATCATCACTCGGGTGACACATTTGACATTTCCAGGGCTCGCTCTGAACAGTTTGACCCCAACCCGCCCCCCCACCCCAGCTCTGGGGTCTTGTGGCATCGCAGCCCGGCTTGGGGAGGGCTGCCCCTGGGTGCAGGGGGGGCCACGGGGACCCCACAGTCATCACGGCACAGATCAGGAATGGTGGCACCGCTGCAAACACCCCCCAAAGCCAGCGGCATGTGGGTTGGGTTTGCATAGGGTGGCACTGGTTGTGTGTGTGTCGGGGGGGGGGGGGGGGGGGGGGCATTCCATTTCACCTTTTAATTGGGACCCCTTAACGTAGGCAGCACCGTGCTGGAGGCTCCCGGGTCACACCAAGTTGGGTAAGACCGTAGGAAAATGAAACAAAGTCAGGTCCTGTGCTGCAAACGACACCCCAAAATGCTGCTCGCCTGCAGGGTGGGGCAAAGGGAGGCAAGGGGGGGGGAAATATTCTTGCCCACGCAGCTGCTTGCCATTTGCTAATTAGCAGGGCCCTACAAATATGTCTGTTAGGGAAGGCTCCTTGCTGCTGTCATTTGTCTTTGCCAGGGAAAGCTGGGAGACAAGGGAGGAATCCGTGGGCTTGGCCAGGTTGTGGAGGGGAGGAAATGAGGGACGAGGTGGTTGGTGCAGTCAGGTGGCTTCTAAAATAGCACCTGGGCTGCCGAGGGCAATCCATCATTTTGACAAAAAAAATAAAAGAAAATTCAGCATTTGTTCCTGTGCGGTGGTTTGGCTTCGTCCATCCTCTGCCTGGTTATTTGCTGAGGGCTGGGATTCCCGGGGAGGATGTGGGATCTGGCCGGTGCTTGGCTCCAGTGTCAGCCTTGTCCCCACTGTCCCTGCCTGGGCAGTGCTCGGCCCTGGGGGGGGGCTGGTTGGGGGTGACCCAGTTTTGGGGAACCCCGGGAGAGGGTGTAGGGGCCAAGGGGACCCTGAGCAGCTCGGCAGATTATTCTGCTTTGGAGCAGGCTGAATAATTAATAATTATTCTTTGAATAATTGACAAGAAAAAAAGAAATATTGCAAATTCATGGCATGAATTATGCACGGAAGACTGTTTGACCAGGTCCCCTCGCTGCAGTCGGTGTGCATTAACCCTTCCCGTGCTGGAGGAGGACCTCCGAATCGTGCAGGGGGGATGGGGATGAAGCGGGGGGAACCGCAGGGGTACATCCAGCCAGCCCCCCCACCCCCCCCCCCCCCCCATCACTGCCCGCAGGGCTTGGACAAGCTGCGCCAGAGATGCCGGGGGGTGCCAGCGATGCCAAGCCCCCTTCCCTTTAGCATCATCCCCATCCCTCGGCCCTACGCTCACCCCTTCTCCCTTTTTGCTTTCCGGGCAGGAATGGACCCCGCCACCAATTCCAAAAGCAACCACTGCCTCGACGCGGCCAAAGCCTGCAACCTGAACGACAACTGCAAGCGCCTGCGCTCGGGCTACATCTCCACCTGCAGCAGGGAGATCTCGGCCACCGAGCACTGCAGCCGGAGGAAATGCCACAAGGCTCTGCGCCAATTCTTCGACCGGGTCCCCAGCGAGTACACCTACCGCCTCCTCTTCTGCTCCTGCAAGGACCAGGCTTGCGCCGAGCGCCGGCGGCAAACCATCGTCCCCTCCTGCTCCTACGAGGACAAGGAGAAGCCCAACTGCCTGGATTTGCGTAACACGTGCCGGACGGATCACCTGTGCCGGTAAGGGCTCTGCGTGGGCATCCCCCCAGCCCTTCCCTGTGCCAGAGGGGGGGGGGGATCTGCAGGCTGTGGAGGGGGGTGGGGGGGCTCAGGCTGCGGGGCCGTGGCGGAGGTTACAGTGCTCTCTTCTTGCGTGACCCTCCTTCAGGTTGACGGGTTGCATCTTCCCAACTCTGCGTGGCACTTGCCGGCTGGGTCTCCTCCAGTTACAGCTGTATCCTGTGCGCAAAATGGGGCAGAGTTAAGGGGTTTTGGCTGTTCGTGGAGAAGCTGAGGTGTGGCCTCGAGTTTGGCGTGTCGTCCCCAGCTCCCTGGCCGTGGGGTGAGGCCGTGGGGTTTGGGCAGGGTTGCGTGTGCTTTGCAAGCACGGCGGCTGCCAACCGACCCACCCCCCCTCCACACCCTCCTCCCCCGAGCTGCTCCGAACCCCCCAGTGCAAAACCACAGCTCTGCCCTTCCCCGTGCTTGGCCTGGGAGGCTGCGGTGGGGCGATGCCCACCGTGGGGCAGAGCCGTGGGGCAGAAGCAGAGCAACAGGGATGGAGCAGAGAAGCAGGGACTGCCTTTTTGCTGTGAACGGTGGGGCTGAGCTTTTGGGGACCGTGCTGGCTCTGTCCCCGCCTCCGGGACCACTTTGTCTCCCCAAGCTGTGGAGGGCTGGGAAAATGTGCAAAAGGAACCCACGCCCTGCAAGCGGCAAAATCCCTCAGCATGCTTTCAGCATCCCCAGCAGAAACTTCATCGCTGGTGAAATCCGCTGTTTTCCCCGTGGCAGAGCAAAGTCGGGAGATCAGGCTTTTGTTCCATTATGAAACTCATTATTCATACGGCAAAAAACCTCCTGTCACCCTCCGGGGGCTGGATCAACCTCATAAAGAATCTGTTTCCTATGAGGAGGAGGGTCTTTTTGCCATCAAGGTGATGGAGTTTCCCAGAGCCTGGTGGCGAAATAAATAAATAACGCAGCTTCAGGTCTTCCTCTGGCTGCAAGCGAATGTGTTTGAAATATGGGAATGTGGCTTTTTATCAAAAAGTAATACAATAAGCCAATGTCTATGAATAAAAGATACCAGGGCTGTGCTGAGTCGTGTCCAAATTAATAGTAGCACCTCTCCATCAGCAGGCCTGATGCTTGCTCAGACATTAAATGCTGCGGATGCATCTGCTCACGGAGGGGAATAACCTGCATTAGCAGCGCGTTGAGGGGGACCGGAGAGGCCATGGAGCTGCCGAGCATTAATTATAAGCCCGTTCCTGCATAAAATGAAATTCTGCCAGAAAAAAAGGTGGAGCAGCAAAGGGGGAAGCATGTGGCAATTGCCTTGGCTGTTTGCTCCAAGTTGGAAATGCGTTTTTCTGGTGGCAACAGGGATGCTGCCAGGCTGGGGAGAGGTGGCCCGGACCAGAGGCTCTCACTCTGCAAAACACCCAAATCTGGCATTTTTTTATGTGTCCAGCTTTGGGCATTGGTTTGCTGGGGTTTGCCTTAACCTCGGCTGTTTTCTGACCGTGCTGGGGTGTTGCAGGGCTGTGCGTGGATGCTCTCCTCAGATCTGGGCTTGTAAGAGAAGGTTCTATCCTATGGACTCCCCTCCCACACCTCTGCCCTGGGGGGGGGGCTCTGGCAGCATTCCCCAAGGCTGGGGCAGGTGGGTTTGCTCCAACCCCCCCCCTATTAAAAGCGGTTGCATTAACCAGGCTGTGGCACTGGGGTGCAAGAGGGGGGGTTAAGAGCCTGCAGCAGGGAACATGCGTCCAGGGATGCTCGGAGATGCTGCCGCGCTCCAGCAGCTCACTTGACCTCCTTGTGTTTGCAGCTGCAGAAGCGTTTCGAAGCAGTGACCTGCCTAGGGTGAGCCCTGCCTGGCACCTGAGCTGAGGGGGGTGGGGGTGGGAAAAGAAGAATTTTTCTCTATTGATGTTGCGTTGCAAGTGAGAGAGGGTCTGGCTTTTTTCTCCCTGGCTTTTGGGGTGGAGAGGGCTCTGGCAGAGCCTTCTAACAGGGGCTGTGCACGCACCGTGCTGTCCCTGGCAGCGGGCACACGCACAGGCTGCACGTTGTGGTCCTTGCTGCTGTTTTCCCCCTCCCTCCGTCTCCATCTGGACATCTCCTGCCGGCACATGGTCCCCAGGGATGAAGGAACGGCCCTGCATGCTGTGCCTGATGCACATGTGGGCATCGTGTCCCCTGGCCCGTAGGGAAAGGATGCGGAGGAGAGCTGGTCAAGGAAATCCATTGTTAGCAAGAGTTTTACGTGAGAGCCTGCTGCCCTTGCTAGACATTAGCTGCCTGGCTATCCAGTGGCCGTGAGTCTGTCCACCCTGCTGCTGCCCCAAAGACGGCCAGGGAGTCGCAGCACTCATTGCTAGGGGTTTAATTTCCCATCTTAGAGCAGGGTATAGATTTACCTGCTGGCTGAGCCCCTTCTCCCACCACCTCGTCTCCTCCTCCACGCACATTCCTGGTGTTTCCCAGCTGCTCCAGGCTGAGCACACCTAGTGAGCCTGGAAAGCCCAGGCTCGGGAGCTGAATGAAATCTAGGCTGTCTAACCACCCCCCCCGGGTAACACAAACTCCCCCGGCAGCTGCTGCTTGCAAAAAAAAAATTGGGTGCCACATATTTCGGGTGGGTTTGGCTTGGTGCGAGCGGTGATGCAGGGGGTCCTGCTGTGGGCTTGGAGCTGCTGTGCAGACAGGGCTGCACCCGATGCAGGGATCTACAAACTCCAGTGCGTGGCTCCAGGACCCCTCGGGATGCCGCTGGTCCAGTTCTGGGTGAGCAGCTTTCTCTGCTCTTCTGCAAAAGCCCCGGGGAGTGGGGGGAGGATTGCATCTGTGTGCTGGCTGGGTGAGTTTGGTTGGTTGGTGTCCCCTTTGCCAGGCTTGTTTTGTAGGGACAGGGTGGTCTGTAGGGCTGACTCAGGCTTCGGGGAGAGCTTCTCCTCTCTCCCTCCTGCTTCTCCAAGGCCCTCTGCATTTATAAATAACAAAGCATTGGCAGGCAGCCTCTGCTAAGATCATCACCAGGTACTGGGAACGTGTATAAATAGAGCGTGGAGGCTTTGTCCTCCTTCCCACAGCATCTGCACCCACCAGCCTCCACCCAGGAGCAAGTGGGCATGAAACCCCTCCACGTCCCATCACCCTGAGCCCCCGGCTGTGGGCAAAGCAGGGCTGGGGTCTGCCGTGGGATTTCCCATCGCTGCCTGTGCTTATCGGGCCGGCATCGCGGAGGGATGCTCGTCCTCCTTATCTGCGCACGGGACTGGCAAGGGCACTGAACTCTGAAGCAGATTGGCAAGCTGTTCCGAAACCCAGCGGTGGCAGGAGATGAGATAATGCTCCTGCACGAGCTGTGAGCGTAATTAAGCCTCCTGGCTGAACGCCTAATGAACGGCAAAGCCCTCTCTACCGGGATAGGGCTCTGCTGGGAGATTTTTGCTGCCATCTCGCCGTGGTCGGTGCTGAGCTGGGTGCAGGGGGGTTGCCCCTTGTTGGGGGCTGCTGCTCTTGCAGGACACAACCCCCGCTGAGGTCGCATTGCTTCCTTCCCAAAAGAAGCAGAGGAGCTGGGGGAGAGGGCAAACGAACTTTCCAGCACGGAAAACAGTCGTTCTGGAGGTTTTCATGGCTTCCTGCTGCTGCTGCTTTCCAGCTGTGCAGGGCTGGTGGTTGAACACTAGTCCCTGTCCCATCAGTGGTCGTGAAGCTGGGGAGATAAAAGCCACCAGCTCTTCCATCACGACCAAGAGTCATTCTGCAAGTGGGTGTTTTCTGAATGCTTTGGACTGGGGTATTTTAACCAGCGAGCAGCATCCTGGCACGGAGCAGGGGCTGGATCGCCTGGGGGTCCCCGTGGCTCGGAGGAGGGTGCTGTGCAGCCCCTCTGTTCTCCACTGCCCTTCTGAGCTCAGGTCCTAGTGCTGTAGGCAAAGCAATTCAGATGGCCTTGACCTGTGTGCCTGCTAAAAATCCCCGGTGAGATGCTTCAAGCCCTTTCTCCCGGCTCCCGGCCGTGAGAAGCAGGAACAATCAGACTCAGATCGCTGCAATTTGTGAGGCTTTTTGTGCCAGGAAGCTTTTCCCGGCACAACGGAGGAGCCCGACAAACTCCCCGAGCTTTGTGTCTGATTGCAATGGACAGGTTTTAGCTCCTAGAATATAAAACCTTTTGCAAAACACTAACCTCAGCTAAGGGGAAAGAGAAGGAAAGGGGAGAAAAGAGCTGATTTCAGCAGCTGCAGTTTGCTGTATTTTTCATCTTGCATCAGCAAGTCAGGAACACAAATAATCTGGTCTTATATGCTTCAGTGATGCTGGTGCTGAAGAATTTCCCAGCCTCCACTGGCTGTAGCTCCTCAGCATCCAAAACCAGGGTGATGTTTAATTTGCCTGAGTTTTCTCCCCGGTTTCAGTGGATTTGTAGCTGGGAGGGGGGGGACGGATCCTGCCCAGCTCCTTGCAGGACGCCTGTGTCTGCGTGCACTGGTGAGGTGCATTGCTGCAGAGCAAGCCCCATCCCTCTTTGGCTGGGGTTGGGTTGCTAATTCGGGAGCACTGCCCTGGAGAGGGGAAGCCTTGCTTCATCACCCGAGGACCCACGAGGGAGGCTTGGCTCGAGGCATGCGTGAGGGGAGGAACGGATCCAGGCTGGCTTGCTATTGATTAAACACCAAACATGGGAACAAAACGCTTTGGTTTTCTTTTTTTTTTTTTTAACCCACGTCCTCGTCTTCACGGCCTTTGTTTAGCACAGACAAAATGCCATCTATAATGGATGTTTCCTTGATAAACAGCGGAGCAGCAGCTCAACTTTCTCATTACGCCGTGTAATGAGAGCGGCTCAGAAGTACGGCTCGGCTGTCCACAAAGCTGTCTGGGAAGAAGGAGGAGGAGGGAAAAATGCTCTTGGATTTAACAGCGGCTCTGGGAGCTGGTAGAGAGGAGCAATGCTTGAGTCTGGAGGGGGACAGGGCACGGCTGATGGGTCCCCAAGGGTG